TTGGGAACTGGAGGGTCACCCCCTGCCCTAAGCCTGGATGCAGGGGTGAGGGAGGGAGCGAAGCCTCTGGAGCATCCTGGTGCCACGCAGGAGCTTGAAGGATGCACAGAAGGCCAGAAATTGCAGGAGGTGTCGCTCCAGAATGTGTTCCGGAACGTTCTGAAAGCAGTCAGGTACATACTGGACTCCATATGCGAGAAGTTGGAGTTCCAGGGGGTCCCCCAAGGGAAGAGCATCTGGCCCATCATCATCCAGATTGACAACTTGACAGAGAAGAAGAAGAAGCTCTGACTCGCGGGGGGAAACTGGGATTGGGTTCACTGAGGCACAGCACTCAATCCCCCCCAGTTCCGGGGGGTTCAGGAGGAGAAATGTGGCAGAGGTGGATTGGAGGAGGGGAAACTGGGAATGTGGGGCCTGCCCTGAACTGGGATTGACTGAGAGGCTTTGGAGAAACGCAGTGGGAAAGGGGAGGGTTTGTGTGGCTCAAAGGAGGAAAGAAGGAAAAGTGAGCATGGGATCCTGAAATCCTGGAATGGCTTGGGTTGGAAGGGATGTTAAATCCATCTCTGAAAAATCAATCAGGGATTGGGCTGTGCTCCTGTCACTGAAACTACAGGAAAAACAAAAACTCTCCAACAATATTTTTGGTGTTAGACAAGGCACTGCCTTGTTCTGGCTGGGATGTGCAACAGAAATTATTTCACCCACACGTGGCCTGGGTGTGCAGAGAAAATCATCTCATGGCAGGTGAATTTTACTCGATTTTTCCCAAACTTTATCCAGTCCAAAACCCACATAAATCCATTGATTCAATGCTCACTGGTTCCAAATTGCAGAGTTCTCAGAATTTGGTTTCTTATTGGACTGGGATTTTTTTTGCCTCTGATGTTTCTTAGGCCCTGACAAATCTCTTTATCAGCCTTTTCCAGCCCCAGGGGTCTGGGGTAGATGTTCCTCGATGTTTGCTGATGGTTGTTATCTTTTTGGGCCTCTTTTGGGCTATTCCCAGTTTGTTGAGATGTTAAGTTTATCAGGCCTCACAGAGGGGAGCAATACCCTCAAAAAATATTCCTCTAATTCCCTTCTCAAAGGCAAACTGAGCCTGACTAGAGAAATAAAATGAATTTTAAACATTGTGTAGTTGCCAACACTCCCAAGGAAAAGGGACAGGATGAGAGGAAACAGCCTCGATTGTGCCAGGGAAGGTTGGGTTGGGTTGGGTTGGGTGGAGGGGTGGATATAGGGAAGGACAAAGGAAGGTTTAGTTCCAATCTTGTGCAAGCGTTTTCCTGGGAAATCCAGCCTGGCCTGAATTCCCAGCAGCTTTTGGAACCTCTGGAATTGGATCATGACAAGGAAAAGGTGATTTCTGGGATCCAACAAATTCA